AAAATGCCTCTGGTCTATGGCTGTTCATCATTATTATTATTTCCTCCCTTGGCCCTTTATGCTCCTGCCATGACCGAAACCACCTGCTATTTTCCCCTTTCTCTCTGGCTTATTTCACTGAGCCGGATCCCTCCCAGCTCCATCCTTGTTTCTGCGAAAGGCACACGTTTGCCTTTTTCATGGCCGAGTAATATTCCGCCCTGCATACACACCCCATCTTTTTAGTCCGGTCGTCTAGCTTTGGGCATTTCGGTCGACTCCACGCCTTTCCTCTTGCCAATAGCAGCAATAAACGTGGGGTGCAGGTGTCTTTTTGGATCCGTGTCTTTTGGCAGTGGGACGGCTGCGTCCTGTGGCCGCTCCATTTGTAGCAGTTTGAGAGTTTCTCATTGTTGTTATTGGCCTAGGGCATGGGCTGGATGCACTCAGGGGGTGGAACGGCTTGGCCTGGGCCTCCTGTTGTCTTGCCACTTTCCCATGAAGACTGGCAGAGCCATCACTCCTGTTTTCTGCCAAAACAGCGCAAAGGGGTCTCTCCTAGCGTGATGCTTCCGCACGGGAACAAGAGCGTGTCTGCACCCGTCTGCACCCGTCTCCTTCGAGCTATGGCTGGGGGTTCTGTTCTTTCACGGGGAGTCCAATATCGGGGCCCCCCAGCGTCACCAGCAAGCCCGCACACGAAGACCCACAACTCCTTTCTGACTCCGTTCTTGCTCCTCGCCGGGCCTCCGCTGCGCCCTCCGCGTCTGTTTTTGCAAAGTCGTTTCCGTTGCACACTGCGGTGTGTTCTGAGTCCTGCAAGATCCCCGGAGCGTCTGCCCGTTACCTGCACTCCTGGGAGACGTCTGCTCCAGCTCCCTCCAAAAGCTCCTGTCCCCCCCGTTATTAACAGACTCAGCCACCCCCCGCCCCCGGCCGAGGCTCCCTGGCTGGGTTTTGGGGACCAGGAATGCCCGCGCTTGGGGTTTGGTGTCTGGAGAGAGGGCTGGCGGGAGGTGTTGGGCGTCTCTGTGATTGCCTCGTTCCGCTGGCTGCTCGCGCCCAGATTGCTTCTGGCTCCGAGGGACTCGGAATGTTAATGACTTGCTCGCGCTCCCCAGCGGGGAGCGGCCCCTTGGGGCTGCGAGGACACACGGCCCTGGACTCCCCGGCTGCCCACGCCGCCCGGGTCAGGGTCCCCGGCGGCGCCGGGACGGTCGGGATCTTCGGTTTGCCCTTGGGACGCCCCCAAGGTCAAACGCGTGTGACAGTGGGGTCCAGAATAACTCACTCGGGGGTCCAGAGCAGCGGACAGGCACGCGCTCTGCTGTCCAGCACCACCGAGCAGCTTCCCGCGGCCCCGTGCCGCCCTCCGCTGCGCTCCTGACGCCTTCGTTCATTTTCCCGTTTTCCCCCGTTTGCCCGTTTGCCCGTTTGCCCGTTTGCCCGTTTGCCTGAGGCAGCACGTGCCCACACAGCGTCCTGGTCTGCCTGGAGACACCAAGCCTCGGGATGGGGCTCTGGGGTGGGGCTCTACTCCCGCGGGGCACGCAGCGATGCCCCACGGTGGCCCGTGGCCCAGGCAGAAGCTCCGCCCCTGGCGGGACGCATCGGGGCCTCCCCAGGCGCAGCTGCGGGCTGCCGCGCGCCCCCGGGACACACTGCGGGGCCCCGGTCCGGCGTTTCCGCCTCAATCCGCGCCCCCGCTTCTGCAGACTAGCCCCCGTGTGTCTGTCTGCCCCGCGGGGTCCCCGCTATCCGGCCCCGGCCCCTGAGCGCAACCCCGCGTGGATGGACATTGCGCCCCGCAGCGAGTGACTGAGTTCTGGCCCCTCTGCCCGCTGCGCGCTGTAGGTGAGTCCGATTCCCGGCCTCGGAAGAACCCCGCGGAGGGGTGGATCCCCCCTGCGCCCTGACATTCCAGCTGCTGCAGCCGTGCTGAGAAACAAGCCGAGGTGCTCGCGGGATGAAACGCGCCAGACAGAAACGCAGGGCTTTGATGCCCACAGTGGGGCAGGAGGTGAGTCTGAAGGAGGCGGCCGGGTGTCATCTCCACAGGCCCCCGTGCTCCAGCGCCCCCATTATGGCCCTTGGGGCCCCTCCTGTCTTTCTCCGCCACCTCATGCCTTCCCATCCTGCAGCCTCAACCTACAGTCCAGTTTCCAGGGTTGGGTTGGTTTTGCCTGTTTTTGTTTGTTTCTCCAGGATGAGTCTCCCCCTCCTGGGTGAGTGTCTCCAGCTGCATCCTGTTATCAGAAACAGCAAGAGGTCACCTTTTTCACAGCTGCGTAGTATTCCTCCGGTCTTCTTCCACTCACCGGCACTGGGCTTGTAGGTTGTTTTCATCACTTGGCTGTTGTAAACGGGGCTGCAGCGGGGGGCGGTGGACACAGATAGCACCGACAGCGGGTGATTTTGCTTCTCGGGGGGAAGAGACCGAGGTGGGGCCCCCCCCCGGACAGTCCGGGCTCTGCTGTCCACGCCTGGTGGAGAAGCAGGTGTGACAGACACGTGCTCGCGGATTCTGGCCCGCCGCAAGGACTGGAAAAGTCATCTCCACCTTTTAATTTCCGCCGAATTCTCCTTCCGCGCAGACGCTACGGAAGTGAGACGTTTTCCTGCGGATTTGGCTCCGGGATTAATTCTGACTGGATACATTTCTCATCTGGCCGGCAAGGACGTGTGGTCGAACAGTCATTGACAGTGGGATCGATAACTCATTACCAGCGGAGGACCCGAGGCCTTCGGGGAGGCAGGGGCGGGCGCCACCTTCTGAGGGCGTATTGACCCTCCGAGCGGCCTTAATTGTGCCTGTCATCTGCATGCTGCTATTTATAAAGATCTCTGCCCCGTAAATCTATCACTATTTTTCCTGCAGGTCAGCAATTTGCACACAACCACGGAACCTGCTTGCTAATGGGGTTTCATCCTGACGGCTCGCCTCGGGACACGCGAGGCAGAGGAGACTTGAAAACGATCCCCCCCGCCCTGTGGCCAGAGATAAGCTCGTGCGTGATGCACGTGAGGACATGTCCAAATGGCAGCTCCGGTGGAAAAAAAAAAAAAGGTGAAGTTTTGTTTTTATTCCCGACCGAGAGGCTGGAAATTGTCTGCAGAGACGAGACTGTGCCCCTTGAAACCACGGTGAGTTTGTCCTTCAAGAGACCAGTGAGCATGTCAGCCCCCTGCAAGCCCCCAAGAAATGTCTGTTGAGTGGGGTGCCAGATGGAGCGAGGTCCCCTTGCTGGTTAGTGTCTTCCGGGTATTAGATCCCTTCCCTGCCTCCATCCCCGGCGTCCAGTATCCGAGTCCGATCATTTCTACTGGGCACGAGGTTCTTTTTCAAGTTCTTCGATCCAGTTCATGTTGCTTTGCACTATCATCTGTACAGTGGATGCAGGAGCCATGGAATACTACGCAGCCATCAAAAAGGATGCCTCCTTCCGTTTGCCACGACGGGAGATGGGAGAAGGCACAGAATGAAGAACCACGCAGGGGGCGTCTGTCCTGCAACACGTCGATTATTCCAGAAATAGGGACTTTGGGGTTCCGGAGCCCACTGCATCGTGGCTGGAGGCCACAGGTGTGTCCCGGACGCCCGTGGTAGACCAGCTCTCCGGTCTCCAGCTCTCCGGTCTCCAGCTCTCCGGTCTCCGAGCTCCGGGCTGACGGTTGCTCACTCCTGTCGTGAATGCAGAAATGACGGCTCGTTGTCAAGCCGGGATGTCGGAGAGGCACGTGGGACTTCCCTTCTGCCTTCGGAGACATCTGTCCACGCTCCGCTGCCCACTGTGCATTGCGTCCTGCGCCCGAGAGACAGAGCTCGGCTGTGCCGCGTACGCTCTGGACGGAGGTTTCCGAGGCCGGCACCGGGTTCAGGGCAGAGGATCCGTTTACGGCTCTTTCGGGAACGCACGGGCGGCGGCCGCCACCAGGGGGTGCAGGGAACTTCTCCACCTGGGGCCCCCCACCCCGGGCGAACGCTCATTTCCCTGACTGCATCCGCGCTGCGGGGGACTTTGCCATCCAGGGGCATCTCCACCCCGTTCTCGCAGCATGTTGGGAAACAGCGTTATCTGGGGTAGAAATGGGCCGTCTGATGCGCAGCCAGGGAACGGACGCGCGTCTCACCGCCAGGGAGGGTGTGGCGCAGAAACGCAACGGAGCGAGCGTCAGTTGCTCTGACCACGGCGTTTCCCGCAACTCTCGGCCGTCTCCAGTCGAACCTCCCCGGTGAGATGCGTTGCGCGGGCGTTTCTTGGGATTTCAGCATCAGGGGGTTTGACTAAATCTCGACACTTGTTTCCTACACAGGAGTGGAACGCCCTGAGCGTAGGTGAAAGGGGTTTTGGCGTGTTGAGCTTGAATTGGATGATGGACAGGACTTGAGGGACATGGCCGTGTGCAGGGCCGGATACCATGGACCGAGGTCATACATGTCGGCTAGGTGACATACACGGATGACCCACGCAGCACTCAGCTGCAGAGGACCTGTGTGTCCACTTGTGTGTGTGTCTGGAACCGTCTGGAGAATTTCTCAAGCGCATGAGACTCTGTTCTCAATTACAGGCACCAGGATCCAGAGTTCCAGGCACAGACACCTGCAGCTCCGTCCACGTGGCCACAAAAAGCAGGAGTCGGTCTTTTTGACGGCTGCGTAGTATTCCACTGTGCTCAGAGACGCCTGGCAGGGATACAGTGCACGGCTGCCGTCCACTGCTCAGCGACGACCTGGACGCCGGGATTCCATCACGGGGGCCTTAACCAGGCAGAATAACTCTGCCGTGGGCTGAAAACAAATCATCCGCTCCTCAGCGTGACCCTTGGGCTCCAAGTTGCCTCCGTCAGGCACTTACGAGCCCCTTTTCTGTGAGATTCGGGTCAGGTGACTGTGTGGAAATGGCTGAGTGCTTCCTCTGGCTCCAGTGAAGGCTCTGGGGTCCCACCTGCATTACGCCACTACTATATGATGATACAATTATAATAATCTGTTATTATAGAGTACAGCATCATATACTACATGTTATATAGTATTACTATATATTCATACTACGATTATAATTGTAATCTATAGTATAATATACTGTATTATATTAATAATAATAGTATAGTATATAGTACATTAATATACTGTATACTACTATATATTAATATAATCATATATACTACTACATATTTATACAATTATTATATTAGTATAGAGTACATCATCATGTGCCATCATCATGTACTACATGTTATATAGTATTACTACATATTCATACTACGATTATAATTGCAATAATATATAGTGTAATATACTGTATTATATTAATAATAATAGTATAGTATATACTATGGTACATTAATATAATATAGTATATGCTAGTATAGATTAATGTAACCACATATACTACTATATATTAATACAATTATAATAATATATAGTACATCATCATATGCCATCATCATATACCACATGTTGTATTACTATATATTAATACTATATTATAATTGTAATATATAGTATAATGTACTGTATTATATTAATAATAATAGTATGGTGTATACTCTGGTACATTAATATAATATAGCATATGCTAGTATAGATTAATGTAATCATATATACTATGTATTAAGACAATTATAATAATATTATATAGTACATTATCATATACTACAAGTTATATAGTATTACCATATATTAATACTACTATTGTAATTATAATAATGTATGGTATAATATACGATATTATATAATAATAATAATAGTATATACTACTAGACATTAATATAGTAGATGCTATATATTAATGTAAGCATATATACTACTATCTATTAATACAATTATAACATGTTATAGCATATTATCATATACTACATGTTATATAGTATTGCTATATATAAATAATTGTAATTGTATTAATATATAGTATAATTGTATTGATATAATATAGTGTAATTGTATATATATAGTATAATTGTATAATTCTAATACATAGTATAATATACTCGATGATATTAATAGTAGAGTAGATACTACTATACGTTATATGATACAGAATATACTACTGTGTGTTAATATACTCATATACTATAGAATAATAGATAGTATAATATACTAGATGATATTAGTAACAATAGTACATGTATACAGCAGACATTAATATAGTATATACTAGTATCCGGGGAGGCCCCGTGGTGCCCGCACGGAGCTCAGCCTAGCAGCCCACGGAGCAGGGGCCCCGGGAGCTCCCCGAGGGGAAGCAGAAACCCCGGCGAGATACACACGCACATGCACGTGTCAGGGGAGGGGGTAAATGAGAGATGTGGCGTGTGCAAATATGGCAGCTGGCAGACTCCAGCTGGGCTGGCTGAGACCCGGGACAAGCGGCGAAGCAGAGGAAGTGAGAACCCACGGGCCGGACCGTCGACGGATGAGACCAGGCCCACCCACGGGCGGGAGGGCCAGCTGCTTCCTGCAGCCTATCAGTGTAGACACCAGTGTCGCCCAGAAAGCACTTG